CCGCTCCCCTCACCTGGCGGCTGAGGTGGGTCATGGGGGGGTCTCTGGAAGTGAAGGCCACCAAGGCCGGAGTCTGCCCCAGCCGTGTCCCCAGCTGCCCCTGGCGGTTTGCCTTTGTAGGGTCATGGCTGCTCAGACCGCCTCCGGCCCTCGCTGCTGCCGTGCGAGCAGCTCCCCCAGGTGTACAGGAGCGGGCGTTATCTGTGCTACCAGTGAAGCGAAAGTGAATCCTTTCTGTTTTCCCATTACTAATAATAACCTCCATTAAAGCAAAGCCAGGGAAAAAAATAATGAGGGGTGTGATTGATGTGACAGCTCCCTTTAAAGGACAAAAAGGCATCCTAGAAGGTTTGGCAGTCGTGATGCACACCCACATTCTCATATGCTGGGTAGCTACAGTTTTTCCTCCCTATTATGCACCAGTTTTTGTGCATAAAAAAAAAAATAAAGCAAATCTGCTACCAGCAGTTGTACGTTGTGTGGTGACAGATGTTGAGCTTTACTATTTGCCCCTTGGCTACTCCTGGGCAGGAGGTTCTGCCGGGGCAGCCTGGGCAGGGATGGTGGTGATCACCCAGAATAGAACCCGTGCAAGAGAAAAGACTGGATTGGAAATGGTCTCTATGGCAACAGATGAACAGTCTTTGCAAAAGGAGATGCAGGAAAGAATTTAGGCTGAAAATACATCATTCTCTCAGTGAGACAAGCCTGTAATCCTTGTCTGGGCAATTTTAAACAAGCTGTTTCCTCTCATCTGGCATTCTGCTATTGAAGCATGAAATCCAGATCGTAGCTTTAGCGGCAAGAAATGCCCACACATATAATTACTGCAGTTGTCTTGTTCTAGATGAACATGCAATGCTATATTTTTTTCCCCTCTGTGATTATATTTGGTACTTCCAAGTCATGGTAACTTGGAAATGGTAAGGATGTATAAGCAGCTAGAACTGATTAGCTTTCTTTCTGAAACTGTATAAAGCTTTGCTGTATTTTTGAAGCTTCATTCTATTTGATGGCTTCTATTTGGTCCACTCTCCTTAATGGGACCACTTCAAATATACCTGGCATTTGAGCATTCTATCAACTATGTATGAGCCTCAGGTTCAGTTCAGCAATGCAACTTCCTGTCTGCTACATTACCTTAACTTTGTAACACAACTTTTTGTTTCATTACCTTAACAAAAGTTAAAAATTCCAGAAAGGAATAATCAAACCCAAGCTCCTCTCTCTTGCTCCCTGTTTTTCTCTCCCTCCCCCTCAGATATAAAAGGACTGAAAATTATGCTTGCTCTGTTCTATAGAATTGCATTTACTCACCATCTTAAGGTCCAAAAGATCAAACTCGGATAGTTATAATTTGATTTATAAAGCTATATAAGCCATGATGTGTTGGTATTTGAAAACTGTAGTACCCCAGTGGCAGATGCCTCATTACTGATACTGATTGAAGGAAACCTTCTTCACTCTCATCATAGCCAGGTCCTCCAGCCACACTTGAACCCTAGTATCTTCCAAGTACCTCAGGTCTAGTTTCACAGCTGGTACAAGTAGATCCAGCAGCTCAGTGAAATGATCCATACATTGCACTACCACAGCAGACAGGAAGTAAAAGTGGGAGCATGTGGTGGGATGGGTAGGGAGGTGAAGACTGCATCTTTTGGTGGCAGGGCAGTTTTTTGGCACCTTGAGCTGATGGGAAGCATGGTTCCCTTCCTTCCCAGTCTTCCTATACCGGCATTTGCAAGTGTACAACCATGAAATGAGGGTTCAAGAGCTCATCTGGCAGAAAACCAATGTGTCAGGGGTTAAGGACAGTTAGCAGGGCAGAAGAATTGATTAGGGGGAGGACATCTGTCTTTATAAGTTACTCTGCCTTCTGCCATGGACAACTGCCCATGCATCCAGTCTAGACCTTCAGCCTCAATGCTTCCTGGGATATGAGCTCGGGGTTTTTTTATGACACTGAAAGTGGAAAAGTGGCTTTCTTAAAATAAACTACATAGAGTTTAGGAAGTAAGCTGACCCTAAAAATTGCAGGATCACTTTGTCCAAGATTCAGGCTTTGTTTTAAAAGAGGAAAGATGCTAGAAAGTGTTGAAAGAAATTAAAAGAGGTATATATTGATTTTCTTAAAAGTTTACAGCAAACATTTCTCTAATAACTTTCAGCATTTGAAGACTTCTGTCAGAATTATGTAAGCAACACAGAGCAGACTGAAACTGGCAGTTTTCACTGTCCAAGCTGCGTAAACAAGAGAAGGTTCAAAGCAAGATGGCAAGATTGTTGAAAGGTATGAATTGGCCTACTTTTTGATGAAGAGATAGTAACTAGGATAGCATTCAGCTCAGCTCAGGAAAGAGCGACTGAGGGATATGATCGCTATATATAAAGTCATGGCTAAGATGACTTCTCAAGAACCAGGAACCAGAGGCCTGAAATTGAACTATCAGGCTTCAGATTTAAAACCAAAAGAAGTTGGGTTTTTTTCACACAATGCATATTTAAACTGCAGATCTTCTTGCTACCAAACTTTATGGCTGTCAAAATTATAAACAGATTAAAAAAAAAACTAGACAGATTCATGAAGAAATGGAGTTTGAAATATGATTGGCCAAATACAAACTTAAGCTCAGAAAAATCCATGAACTACAGACCGCTGCAGTCTGAGACGGGAATACTGGAGAGGGACTCTGTAAGTGCCCTGTTTCATACATTCTTTCCTAAGGGTATATTAATGGTCCTACTCACAGATGGGCTACTGCCCCAGTCTGTGTCAGGACAGCTGTTCTGGAGCACAGACAGCAAATGATTGATGTAAATGATGGTGACAAAAAGGTTTCTGATGGGGAAGGAAAAAAGGGAGCATTTGCTTGCACTAGTTTTAGCAAAAAAAATTAGTGTCTTCAGCAGCCTTTTTTCGTTCAGAATGGATGCTAGAAGCAGCTGTGCTCCTTTTCAAGTAAAGTAGCTGAAACAGCATCTGAGGCAAAGCAGGTCAGGCTTTGCAAAGCTTAGCCAAGAGGCTAAGCATGAAGGCAGGGACCTAGGCATTGCTGGGGGAGCTGTGTGCAGGAGGGAAAGTGTACATGCCAGTTTCGTCAAGAAGTGAAGATTTGTCACAGGAGACATGATTGTCAGTGACAGGGCCGTGGAAAGCTGAGAACAGCCAGAGAAGCACTGTGAGCCTCTTAAAAGCTAAGCAAGAGTGCTGTTGACTGAAGTGTTCCAAAAAGAACAAAAGTAAGAAAACTTGAAACATGGAGTGATATTTTTCTTTACTGCATGATTGATGTTACAGAAAGCAAATGGCACTCTGTGTGCCTTCTTTGTTGGTATGCATCAAAGAAGTATCTGACTCATTTACCAGTTTCTTCTACTAATGGAAATGTACTGCAGATCTGAAGTACTGCCATAACCCGTCAGAAGTGGTGACAGTGTAATTACCTTTCCTGATTGTGCCAACAGTGTTATAGTTCTTCCCAGACAGTAATAGAGCCCCAACCTTTGATATGGGGATCAGACAGTCTAGAGGCAAAAATTAAGGGAGAAGAGGTGTAATATCTAAGTAGCCTGTTTGAAAAAGAAGAAACTTGGGAAAGGGATTCTAAACTTTTCTGTTATTTCCTCAGCCTGCCTTTTTTTCTGGTATGAAAATGTCTTCAGATGCACTCTGTACAGCAGAAGGTTGTGATCTTCTGGAAGGAGATTTTCCTGAAAAACTAAGAGATGGGTGAGCCTATAAAGGTTATGTAGGACTGGGAAAATGGCGTTAACCACTGCAGTAAAGAAGGCAGGCTAGTTTCATGGATGGATCTCATTTTGACCTTTAATAACCCTTCAGTCTGTTGGCTAAATGTTTTTTAGTGACACAAGAAAGAGATATATAGCTACATAAGATGAAAAAGAAGGAAAGATTAGATTAATCTATATATATTTCGCTGTGAGAGTTTCCCCTTCCATCTGGCCAGGCTACAGGATCTTGTAAACATATTTTGTTTGCGGCATGCAATTTACTGTTTATTAAAATTGCTTACAATGCTTTGGCCTCAGCTGTTTGATTCAGGATCTAATAAATGGCCGGTGATTTGTCAGGCTGTCACTCTATGGATAAATCAAATTCTTTCGCCTGTTGGCCATCATTTTAATAGTGGAATCGTGGTGTTTGTGCAGCCCCTGGCCCTGCTTTCTGGTGAGACCCTAGCTCACGCGTGAAATGTAAATCATCATCCTCTGTACCTCTAACACATGTATCAGCAAGGGTTTCTATCTTTCACAGGAGAAGTCTGTATTTGTAGTAGTGAAAGTGCTGGCTCAATTTCACAACTATATGCAGTACTGGAAATTGTTACCATCACAGCGATGGACTAAGTTGCTTCAGCATCTTTGAGCTATTCCTCGAGTGACAGGCATAGGGCTTTCATTTCTCTCTATCTCCAAGAGATCCCTACAGTCCAGGCTCCCGCTTTTCCCCCTCTCAACTTGGGTTGTGCTTTTGCGGTATTTCTGACTTGGTTGAGTCCCTGTGGCTCTTCCATTTGCAAATTTGTAATGGCAATACACACTATGAACAGCAGCCTTTTTAAATGAATCTTGGC